GGATTACATCAGATGAAGAAGTTTCTGAACAGCAAAGGACACAGTAATTAGTGTGAATTGACGGCCCTCAGAACGGGAAAATATTTTTGTAAACTATGCGTCAGATAAGGGACTGATAGGGCATGGTGGCGCCCACCCTATGGCAGATAAGGGACTGATAACTAGAATACACAGGGAACTCAAGTGGCTTCCCCCAAAAAATATGATCAACCCAATTAAAACATGGGAAAGTGAGTTTAAAACAAAACAAAACAAAACAAACAAAACAAAACAAACACCCTCTAAGGAAGACATATGAATAGCCAAAAGGCAGATCAAAAAACGCTCAACATCCCTCATTACAAGGGAGATGCAGATCAAAACCACAATGAGATACCACCTAACCCCAGTCAGAATAACTAAGATTAAGAAAATAAAAAATGATAAGTGCTGACAGAGGTGTGGTGAAATGGGAAATCTCCTACACTGCTAGTGGAAATGTAAATTGGTCCAGCCACTGTGGAGAATGACATGGAGATTCCTCAAAGACCTACAAATAGAACTACCATATGATCCAGCAATCCCACTCCTTGGTATCTACCCAAAGGACAGGAGAATTCTTAGTCAGAAAAGTGCTTGCACATCGATGCTAATTGTGGCATTATTCACAGTTGCTAAGACATGGAACCAACCCATGTCCACAAACAGAGGAATGGATTGAAAAAGTGTGGCACATATACTCTGTGGAATACTACTCAGCCTTTAAAAAAAAAAACCCTTGGCTTTTGACAAAAAGTGGATGTATATGGAAGATTTACTGCAGAGTGAAGCAAGCCAGGCTATGAAGGAGAGACATTGTATGCCTCCACGTAATATATTCCAACTGTCCACACTCTATGGTTGAAACGAATGACTAGAAGATATAGAAACACAGAAAATGGTTTTAGATAACAGATATAGTGTGAGAAGAGGGTGGGAGAAGCAGGAGAGTCTGAGGGAAGACATTAAGGAGAAAAATAGAAAGGCAAGACATTTATGGGACAAAGAAATGGGTTATTATCTATCAAAGATAATGTGTATAGTATTCCCAACTGGACTGGTGAGAAATATATTCATGTTGGAATATTCACTTTACAAGCTAAGTGACATATGTGATTGAATGTTTAAAAGAAATTGAAATAAATATATGTATATAAAAAAGAAATCTGTGGACTCTGTTTTTTTAATTTTTTGAGAGGTTTTTGTTATATGGCATGTGTGCTCGCCAGAAAGACAGAGAGACAAAGAGAGACAGAAAGCAAGAAGTCAGCCCCCGGGGGGAAAGGCCATGACACAATCCTTTCTCCTCCATTCTCCTCTTGGGATCTTGGGCATGCATGCACATGTGCCCAGCATGAGTTTAAGCCACCAGGTCTGGGACTTAAACTGTGGTCGACTACATGGGAATCCAGCGACACAGCCCTTATGCCAACTGCTGGTCCCGACAAATCTTTGGACTCTTGGTTTACAGTCTAATCCAAAAAATGCAAACTAATGTGGGGGGGGAGAGGTCAATCAACACTTTTAGAGACTTTAAATGATGCTTTTCCTCTAAGTTTTATGATATCTAGGCATACTAAACTAATGGAAATTGACATCCCTAAATACCCCACAAATTAGCCCTAAAATTTATTAATCAGTAATACTGTGATTGCAATATCTTGTTAACTAATTAGAAACAATTCCTAACAGAGGAAACCACTAAGCTCTGAACTTTTTCTTTTTGGAGAAATTTTTTCTATAGGGCATGTGTGCTTATAGAGACTCACAAACAATGAGAGAAAGTACGAAATCACCCCATGGGGGGATGGCTGTGTGCAATCCTTTCTTCTCCATTCTCTTCTCAAGATTTTGGGCATGCACATGTTCCCAGCGAGTTTCAAGTCGTGGGTCTAGGACTCTAACCTCAGTCGGCCATGTGAAAGTCCAACACCACAACCACCACACCACTTGCTAGCCTCTGAGCTCTATTTTTAAAGAGTTATATTTATCTGTTCTGTCTTCTATGGATCTAGTCCCAGAAGAAGGTAAATTTACATATAATGGTTTAAATTACAGGACTGGCCCCATAGCCTAGTGGTTAAGGGAACCAGATCCCACATGACTGATCAAAGTTTGAATCCCAGCTCTGGCAGCTTGAAAACCATCTGAGCATGTGAGTGTGTGCCTCAGATTCCAACGGGATGGAGAAAAAGGGAAGGGGTTGCAGCATGACCGCGCTCCACTGGGGAGTGCTTCTTTCATCTCATTCTCTCTCTCTCTCTGTCTCTGTCTTTCTCTGGCAATGCATATGCTTTCTGGCAGTTAAAAATTTAAAAATAGGGACCAGAAGGTGGCACAGTGGTTAAGATGCTGGACTCCCATATGATTGACTATAGTTTGAGTCTTGGACCCAGTGGCTTGAAACACATGCCGGGCATGTGTGCATGTGTGCACCAAATCCTGACAGGAGAATAGAATAGAGGAGGGATCGTGGCATGGCCATCTCCCCTGGGGGGGGGGGTAATTTCTCACTTTCTGTCTCTCCATTTTTCTCTGTGTCTCCAGCGAGCACACAGGCCCTAAAGCAAAAGTCTCTCAAAAGATTTTTTAAATAAAACAAATAAATAAACTATAGTATTGGGGGGGAGAGTAACTATTCTAGTCATTACATTGGTTTTTAGATTTATGCAAATTTTCTCATTTACATAAAATATACTAAAAGCAAAGGGATAAATATGGCTTGATGTAGGTCACTTCAATAGCCAAGTGAATTTTCTGGATTTATTTTTGTTTTGCATATTCAAAAGCTTTGAGACGGGTTGAAAGTAATCGATTTAAGTATCTTGCCACTGAATACTGAGATAATCCAGCTTGTTTTCTTAGTCCAAAAAAAAAAGGAATTTTTAAAATTTAGAAACTGTAAATATACAGAACTAACAATTCTAATTATTATCATTGATTTGTAATAATACGCTTTTAAAATAAGAATAGCAACAGTCACAACAGATCAAGATTGCCACAGTCATTTCACAACCAGTCTTCGAGGTGGTTTAAGTAAACCCCTGTGCAGTCATTTGGGGTAGGCTGAGTCACCGGGCCGGTTAAGATAATCACAGACACTTGTACACTACATGTGCTCCGTGATTCCCCCCCTCACACACACCTTTACCACCTGAGAAACACAGCGGCCTCCGAGGGACTTGTCCGTGGTACTGAAATGCTCACCCAACCACATTGACTCTGTCCTGCACTAGGGGAGAACTACTGATGGGGCAAACTTTGCAGAGAAATGAGTATCTTTCAGTATTTCGTATAGAACATGCCTTTGTAAATAAACGTTACAACTTATATCAACTTCATAAATGATTGTGCAAAAACTTTATTGCCCTAGATTTCTTGATGGATCCTTTCACCCTTACAAACTAATGGGCTAGAACAGCTGAGTACATGTTCACTGTATCTTTGATTTTTTTAGTTTTTTCTTATATTCATCCAACACTTCTTCTTTGCTCTTTACCGACACTGTGTAAACCAAATTTTAAAACCTTGTTTAATTTTTCTCGTATCTTTTGACCAGTTATGAAAAGATCAGTCTGTAGTTTTGTTCCTTTCATGTCTATTCACAATCATAAACTGATACCAAATGTTGAAAGATTTATTTTTTTAAAGAGAGATTTTTGCTATAAGGTGTGTGCACTTGCCGGAGACACAGAGAAAGACAGAGACAGAAAGTGAGAAATGACCCCTTCCCAGATGGCCATGCCAAAATCCCTCCTCTTCCACTCTTCTCTGGGGACTGTGGACATGCATGCACACATGCCTGGCATGACTTTCAAGCTACCAGGTCTAGGACTCAAGCCACAGTAGGCCATGTGGAAATCTAGCACCTTCACTAGTTCATCACCTGCTGGCTCCAGGTTGAAAGATTTTTCTAAAGACATTATTATTAATTTTTCTCATTCTATTTGTTATTATTATTACTTTAGTTTGACCAGAGAGAGACACACAAAGAAAGAGAAAGGGAAAGTGAGAAAGCAAGTCACCAGGTCTAGAGTTCGAACCATGGTCAGCCATGTGGGAATCCAGAGCCTTCACCACCATGCCACTTGCTTGCTCCCATGTTGAATTTCTTTTTTTGAGAGACTATTTATTTATTTATTTATTTGCTATAGGGCACATGCACTCACCAGAAAGATAGAGACAGAGAGATAGAAAGCAAGAAATCACCCCCCAGTGGGAAAGGCCACACTGCAATGCCTTCTTCTTCATTCTCTCCTCAGGATCTTGGGCACACATGTACACGTGCCCGGTGTGAGTTCAAGCCACCGGGTCCAGGACTCGAACCATGGTCGACTACATGGGAGTCCAGTGACATAGCCATTATGCCAACTGCTGGCCCTGCCCATGTTGAAATATTTTTAAAAACTACTAAGGACTGGTAAAGTTATCAAAAAGCTATTTATTGCTTAATCCAATCAGTAAATGGGAATATTTCATATAATCTAAAATATCTAAAATTAAATTCTATTGAACAGTCTGTGCATGTAGACCAAGTTTTTAAGTGAAAAATATACAGATTACGCTCACCAAGTACTGCTAAGATCAGCATCCTGGCTTTTTATATGGTTCAAATTTTTCTTGAGAAACTTAGACGATTGGGACTAGCAGTTAGCGTAATGGCTATGTCGCTGAACTCCCATGTAGCCAACCTGTGGTTCGAGTTCCGGACCAAGTGGCTTAAACTCATGCCGGGCACACGTGTGTGTGTGTGTGCCCAAGATCCCGAGAGGAAAAGGGAGGAGAAGGGATTGTGGTGTGGCCATACCCCCTGGGGGGTGATTTCTCACTTTCTGTCTCTCTGTCTCTCTGTCTTTCTGGCGAGCGCACACGCCCTATAGCAAAAACCTTTCAAAACACACACACACACACAGAGAGAGAGAAACTTAGACTATTAACAGGATAAGAAAAATAAATAAATGTATACTCACAGGTCAGGTGTCCTAGGTTTGCGAGCACAGTGGACTCACTGCTAATCGTGTTAGCAACCTAGCACATCTTTTGTAATCTAGGGAAACATGGAAATGCATATCATTACTATAAATGGGGGGGGAGAATGCGCTAATTTTGTCTCCAACTTACATGACAATAGCTATAATTCAGTAAACACCTACTAGAGCAAGTGCTTAGCATGGATTTTCTCATTACTTCTCCTACACAGTCAGGAAGGTGTTTTCATTAACTTCACTTTGGAGATGAGAGAAGACCCCCCCTGTGCTGATGACCTCCTACGTGGTACGTTTGAGCCCAGAGCCTGCGTTTCCTTCACATGCTGCCCCACCAGTCATCACCTCACCTTGAATCCAATACGACTCATTTTCCCTAGTCAGTAAACACGAGTAGCTTTTGAGAAAGTTATAACACCTGTGACTCAAGGTCCTAAGTAAAATGAAATATTGCTTAACATGAGTGATCTGGTTAAATAGAAACAAAACACGAGGCCAGCAGATGATGTGATGGTTCAGGTTCTGGATTCTCACATGGCTGATGGTGGTTCAAGTCCCAGACTAGGGGCTCTCTCCTCTCTCTCTTTCTGTCTCTCTCTCTGGTGGGCATACACATTCTATAGCAAACTTAAAAATAATAATAAGGGTCATCAGGTGATGTAGTTGTTAAGATACTGGACTCCCACATGGCCAACCACGTTTTGAGTCCCGGATCCTGCGGCTCAAAAATCATGCCAGGAGTGTGTGCATGTGTGTCCAAAATCCTGAGAGTATAAAGGGATTATGGCATGGCCATCACCCTAGAAGGGTGATTTCTCACTTTCTCTCTATTTGTCTCTTTGTTTTTCCAGTAAATACACACGCCCTAAAGCAAAAATCTCTCCAAAGATAATCATCGTTAATAAAATAAGTTTATAAAGAAACAAAATGCTTAAAATACATTTTCTTTAAAAAGAAAGCTTATGCCTAGAAAGGGATTTAAGAATAGCCACTGAGTCACCCCTTATCACTCATAATTTGGGCATTTGAAATGATAGTACTTAAATCTTATGTTTGGAAATATTAACTGGGATAAGTTAAGTCTTTAAAAGAATTCATTAGAACAACCCTTAAATCACATGCTATTTTTGTTGGTAAATACCCACTGAATAAGTGACGTGACATAAAACATACTTAGCTTTAAACTAACTCATGAAGGACTACGGAGTTACACTTCGCTGTCTTCTTATTATTTCTCTTTTAAAAAAGATCATCTTATTTATGCCAAGGAATTTGAACAGTGATAAAAAGTTTAAATCCTGACAGACATTTTCATCTTTAAGGAAATCTGTCTCTTTTCAGATTTGGGTGTATTCCCGATTAGAACGTGCTTCCCTCCTGATAGCTCCAGTCACACACGCAGACCTTAAGTGCTGCCGGTGTTATCAACAGCACCTCCTACAATGTGTAGCCCTTACTTCCCTCCCATAGGCCATCCAAGTTTAAAGTCACACGCATTCGTTGTTGAATAGCCTTTGGGAAAAATGCTACTTACAAGCAGGTGTGGAGCAATCCCTGGTATTGTGGTAAAGTCGATGGAAATGTTTGCTACATTCAGCTGAAAATGTGACTGGCCCTAGCAGACAGAAAAAGAATCCGTGTTATAAACATAGGCATGTTTTCCAAATGAAAGCTAGCACTTTATGGATGGAGATAATACAGAGTAGTTTATGTCCTTCCATGCCCTTAAAAGAACCCGTCTGAGTGCTCATCCCTCACCCACTACTCTGTGGGAGGTAGAGAGTTGTGATCTGTGAAAAATAATCTGAATTCATTCCACATTCTCAACATCTCACATAATGGAATGGAACCTTCACTCTCAGGAGAACTCTTCAGAATAATTAGGATGGAAAAGTCCTTACGAAAAAGAAAAAAGAAATGTTGTAAAGAGCAAATCAAGTTGGGACCAGCAGATGGAGTAATAGTTACGTCACTGGACTCCCATAGAGTTGACCACGGTTCAAGTCCCAGACCCAGTGGCTTAAACTCACACCAGGCATGTGTGCGTGCATGCCCAAGATCCTGAGAAGAGAAAGGAGGAGAAGGGATTGTGGCGTGGCCATTCCCCCTGGGGGGAGATTTCTCACTTTCTGTCTCTCTATTTATCGCTGCCTTTCCAACGAGCACACAGGCCCTATAGCAAAAAATTCTCTCGCTTAAAAACAAAACAAAAGAGCAAATCAAGTCGATATGAAGAATAAAAAATAAATATCTTTGGCTTCCACTTTCTGTTCCCCAATCTTTTATTTAATAGTCATTAATGTTTATATACAGGAACTTTTGTTCTACTTTTAAAAGTTTACTTATTTATTTCTCCAATGAGCAAGAGACGCAGCACCCACGACCGGGTCACAGCGCTGCACTCCACGGCCAGCCAGCCCACACCGCATGCCCGACGTTCTCAGGGAGGACCCTGGATGGAAGCAGGAACTGTCTCATGTGAGTCAGCCTCGCGGGGCATCATGTTTCCACGACCCCCCGTTCTTACAATGTAGTTATTTGTGTCCTTATTATTAACAGCCGTGACCCTTAGATTTGGTGAAGTGGGAAAATCACATGAGAAAACCGCCCTTTCCCACAGCAGAGGCCTCAGTACAGAGCAGGGCTGGGTCGTGGGGACGGTCAGGAGCAGAGAGGCGGCAGCAGTGGTAGCTACGGGCGAGCTACTCGAAGCAATTCAGCAACTCAGAACGTGGGGCATAGAATGATTCAAAAATTACTTACTAAATTGATAAGAAGAACAAAATACTGCCATGAGAGAGTATTTTATTTATGCTTAAAATGGGGGATGGCCCTGTAGCCTAGGGGTTAAGGGGGTCAGATCCCACATGGCTGACCATGGTAAAAATTCCAGCCCTATTGGCTCAAAAAACACAGCCGGCCTATGCGTGTGCGTGTGCGTGTGTGTGTCCCCAAATCCCAACAGGGTGAGGATACGGAGTACAGGGACTGCAGCATGACCACACCCCACCGGGGGCTCTCTCTCTTTCTCTCTCTGGCAAGTGCACCTGGCCTCTTGTGATTAAAAAAGA